GCTTCTTGAACAAACATTAGTACTTTGATGATAAAACACTCAAATATTACTCTGCTGTGCTATATGCTATTAATATGCAGTTATTCATCCCAGCCAAATATGATCAGGATTCAGGACCTACTCAAACATAAGATAGACAGTTCATAAAATCCATTTGGCCAAACCATCAGTTTTAGGGTGGTATGGCAAAGTATAAACCTTCACTATATTGAATACCTTACCAAATAAAACTGACTGTTGAAAATACCTCTCTGGGTACTCTAAATTATGGTTCAGCTAACTTATCAATGACACACTGCCCTCAATCAGTAAATATCAGCCAATGTAAAGATGATCAGTCGCTGGAAGAGGACCAGCTACATTCAGTGCTATTCTCTTCAAACAATTTACATCTTTTTACAACCTACTGACAGAGTTGACCTTGCTATGCTGGCTTTTTCTCTGGGCAGTACACACAGTAAAGTGCTTACGCTCTCAACTTCATTAATGCAGTCCAGCCACTTATAAAAAAATCTTCACTGCCTGCATGGTTCACTCATAAGTGCTGCTGCAATGAATTTTTACAAGTTCATAGCACCCAGAATCTAGACATTCACAACTCAATATCTGAAATCATTTGTTTTACCATGCTACTGCCCAGGAAAATGAATCATACTCTTAAGCTTCATGCCATAACCCATACCTGGAACATACAGCAAAAGATAGTCCTTAATTTCATTTTCCTCGTAATGTACAGACACAGAAAAAAAACTCCCTTTAAGACTGAATTGTGCAACATGTAAAGCATAAAAAGACTCATGATTAATAAGAATAAACTACCATTACAAACATGTCTTTTAACAAAGAATACACATCATAAAAAAACTTTCAACAGAGACATGTACACAGTAAGTATAGGAAGTCAGCCATGAAAAGGAACCTTTACATTAGCAAACTTTTAAGAATTTTAATATTATTAACCTTTTTAAGCATAACATCCACTTTTAACTCTTATATACTTCACTTGCTAACTTAATTACTGCAGAATATATCTAACACAAAAATATTAATATTTTGGCTGCAGGTCTGTATTGCTTGAAAATTGTACTCTTTACACATTCAAATCAATATATATGTAAACAAAATTGTATGTAGTGTAACATACATATATTGTCATACACATAGATACATCACACATTAATCACATATGGTAAACCAAAAAAAAACATGTATGTGGTAACTGATGGAGAACAGTGTTTATCAACATGACCAAAACTTGAAGTTGCAGCATCTGCCACCATACTAGCATTCATGAGCCAGAAAAAGTAACTTGTCTGGATACTACACAAAAATAATACAATCACAGCCTCAATAAATTCAATAAAAATAAGCCATTAATTGTAAATCATGCAACTTGAATTGTTATCTATAGTATACACCTAAAATCAGACAAACGTAGCGGGCAACAAGAGACACATATTTACTGTGATAGCCACTACCAACACCTCTATACATGCTGTATACTACTGTGCTGCCATTTTTGGGACATGAAACACACCAATCTTGACATCACTAAATTAATTACTCAGACCACATCCAGTCAAATATAAAATGTTTTTTCATGGCTTGTATTTTAACATTAACACCATCCATTAACATATTGCATTACAGATTTTAATCATTCTAAGAATATCTACTATGTAGAATTGTGGCATGTCAAGTAAAAAAGTGTAACACTAAAAGAAAAAAAAAGTAAGTAATGTTCTCTGATACATGGAGATTCTTCATTTTATAATATCATAAAACAAGTTTAGATGTAAAAAAAGCAGTTCATATTCCAACTTATGAAATCATACATACATGATTAACATGTTAAGTAATAAATTCTGTTATACCAGACAAAGATGCTTAAAAATTAAAGCTTCATCTAAAACTAATTTAAACAGTATGCATTAGAGCCAAAGAAGAATATTTTAGTAGTTATAATGACATTTTTTTTTAGAACTCAAAATGTGATGTCTATAAGAAGTGTGAATTTTATATTATTTGCAAAACGAATCACCTCACAATAGATACTTTTTCTCTCAAGTTCTTAGCCAAACACTTCACAACTGTGTGGCTTATTTTTTAAATGCATTATTTTTAAATTCTGTGTCTCAGACTGTATGGCTATATGGTTTCTCTATAATGCTGTATCGTCTGAAGTTATTTTATGTGAATATATCTTCTGAAGTATTTTAAAACAACCATTATCTCAAAACTGTTATTACATTGTAATCAGCATCAATAATATCAAAGTCAAACTTGGGTTTGTGTGTGTAATGTAGTGTAATGTAGAGACAAGGGCAGATAAGGGATTGCAGGACACGTTCCAATAATCCCCCAGAACCCACTGAGGGGGACATATCTGCACAACCAAAAGAAATCAAGGCTTCTAGGGTAGTGAGGGTCCTCAAATCAAATGTGAGTGAGAGAAGTGCCTTGGATAAGGCTGGCCCTTAGGGGGTGCAGTGGGTATGAGGCCCCCAATTGGAGGGGGCCTCAAATCTTAATCAAATGGCCCTGAAATTAATAAAATCATATTTGTGATCAACAATGAGTCAAGACCGTCTCAGTTCTGAAATAAATAAAATCATATTTGTGATCAACAATGAGTCAAGACCATCTCAGTTCCTTGGCTGTCTTGTCGATTGAGAGAGAGGAAGCAAGATGCTGCAATTTTGAAACCTCATAGAAGAATGGGCCAGTGATAGTGGAAGAAAATTTAATTTCACTTGAACTAGAATTTTGTAAGTACATTTTCTTTTTCATTGATATTATTGCATCTGCTTCCATTTTTTTCATGTTCGAAAACTGGGTAGGTCATTACTAAAATTGAGTTTAAAATGCATCATGCATGGTTATATATTTATGTCTCTAATCTCCCCCCTCTCTCATACGCATATCTAAATTTCATATACATTGTAGCAGGGGGGGCACCATTAATTCTTGCACCCGGGCCCCCTTGTACTCTAGGACCGGCCCCGACCGGAAGGAAAGCTGTTTAGCTAAAAAGTGATAATCACGCAGGCGAATAGCAGTAGAATAAAATGAAATAGTGATAACCGAATGGCGTTTACTGGTCAAAGTAGTGTTTTCCAAACTGTGGGGTGGGGCCTTTTGGCGGGGAGAGCCCAAGAATAGCGACGGAAGAAACAGAGGAGTTGGAGATGATGATAACCTAACAAAACTATCACTTTGCTCTCAAAGATTTTTTTCCTCTCGCATTTATTTACTCCTTACAGCGTTTTTATCATGTGAAAAAATATTTAAAATAGGTAAAGAAAATATGAAGGGGGTTGCAATGGAAACTTTACTGAGTTAGGGGGCGCCGCTATTTAAAGTTTGGAAAACACTGGGTTAAAGGGAATAAAAATTTGTAATAAAGATAGCCGTAAATCTGTAAAGCAATTTCGCAATAAACCAGTCTTGTAACCCCAGAAGTTATTATCTTTCATGATAAAAATTAAACAGGTGACAAAAATATAACAAAGTATGAAACCTCCAAATATATTTAAAATCATATACAAATTAAAGTTACAAGTGTATAAATATAAAATCAAATCAGGAGTGATATAGTAAATAAATACATTCATGAAAAATAATGAAATCATCAAATAAAAATAAGACCATAGCCGTAATACACACACAAAAGTTTTCTCATAACTAGTGATATAAAAACTATCAAACTGAAAGAAAACTGCAATTCTTACGATGGGGTATTTTACCTTAAATATACCGTGTATATAAGCGATTTTTATCATATACTCACTAGGTTATTTTATCTTAAATATACCGTGTTTATAAGCGATTTTTATCATATACTCACTAGAGTATTTTACCTTAAATATACCGTGTATATAAGCGATTTTTATCATATACTCACTAGGTTATTTTATCTTAAATATACCGTGTATATAAGCGATTTTTATCATATACTCACTAGAGTATTTTACCTTAAATATACTGTGTATATGAGCGATTTTTATCATATACTCACTAGAGTATTTTACCTTAAATATACTGTGTATATGAGCGATTTTTATCACATTCTCACTAGGGTATTTTTACCTTAGCCCCCCAGTGGCACAGCGGTATGTCTGCGGACTTACAACGCTAGAAACCGGGTTTCGATACCCGTGGTGGGCAGAGCACAGATAGCCCTTGTGTAGCTTTGTGCATAATTAAAAACAAACAATTTTACCTTAAATATACTGTGTATATAAGCGATTTTTATTATATACTCACTAAGATTTTATTTTTGTAGTTCTCCGGTGGGTCAGCAGTAAACTTACGGACTTACAACGCTAAAATTCGGAATTCGATTCCCCGTGGTGGACACAGCACATAGCTCGATGTGTCTTTGCATTCAAACAAATTTAATTATTTTATGACAAACCAAATGTTTAAGGACGAGTGTTTGTTGGATTGAAAAATTAGTTTTCCGCGAGTAGAATTTTTATTACAATAACACAGTTTCGTTTTTTTTTTCAAGATATTTGTTAGAAAAATTAAAACAATCGATATGTGAAGTAGAATCCAACTTTCGATATTTGATGTATCTACATAAACATAGAAAAGTATTGAAATTTATTTCACCTGAGTTCCCCTGAAACAAATGACCCAATATATTTATATATGAATAATAGTGAAATATAATCTAGCCAAATAATTATCCCAGTAATAAGAAGATCAGTTGCAGAGCTAAACTCTACAGAACAGAAAAGGCATTATTTATTGTTGCTGCATAACATTCCTTATTATTTAGCAAAATCAGGCATATAAATTTCTCGCCATCTAGGGGAGTTCATCTGCATTAAATTTCAACACTTTTAATGAGCAATTTTTAGTTCGTGTATTGCGAAAAAAAAAACCACACACACACACACAGTACTTCAATTCATCTTCACATATAAATATATTTGCGTTTAAAGCTTTTTAATATCTAACAAAACCACAATACTAAAAATAAATCTTAAAGTATGGTAGCACTGGTAACAAATAATGATCTCCGATCATTGTACGTAGTACCCACAAAGTTACAGGTTAAGTAAATAGACCACCACGTGAAATAGAACAAAACATAAAATCAATGTGCAGACGACCCCTTATATACGCATCATATTATTGATGCTTCCAGCAACGGCACGCCTCGAATGTTCTCATTCATTCACACACGACAGATACAGCTAGATACTCGTATGTCAGACAAACTTTTCTCTTTTTAAAAACAACATATACACACACATACACAAACAGGGACAAATCAGCGTCCCGAAGTTCTTTCTTTTCGACACTTAGGGACAACTGGTAAAAAAAAAACAAACTCGGTCGTTTGGTCACCCTGGCTTAGGAACCACGCAAAGTACATTTCTACTAAAAATTGAACACTTCAGTCATGTAATTTTGATATGATGATGGAATTTCATTTTTAAAAAGTTACCTTTTAAAAATTCATTAATAAAAAACGCTTATTTAATGATGTAACTTACTCTTAGTAAATCTTTGATACATTGATTTCACACACACACACACACACAAAACATTTAGTTTTCCAATACCTTATTTACCAATAATTTTATTAAAAACACGCGTGGAACATACATTCAGGTCAACGTATAATGGTCGAGGGAAACTTTTAAGGGCGTGAATTCTAACCTTAGGAACAACAAGGGCTTTATTGTTGGATAGCTTTCCATTTAAACTTTCTTGTTTTTATATTTTACGAGTGTAGCATAATTTTCACTTATCGTTATTTTTTGTACTTAAACAAGATCGAAATTGATTTCTCTGTATAAATAAGATAACGTGTTCAGAACAGAGGTTATTTGTTTGTAATTAAGCACAAAGCTACACAATGGACTATCTGTGTTCTGCTCACCACGGTAATCGCAACCTAGATTCTAGCATTCCAAGTTCATAGACGTACTGTTGTGCCACTAGGGGGCAGCCCAAAGCTACATAATGGGTTTTGTGTGATCTATTCACCGCGGATATCGAACTGAGGTTTTTAGCATTAAAAACCCCCCAGGTTTGTCACTTAGCGACAAGGGGGCTTGACGCGTAACCCTAGAAATATATACAATTATTTTATTGTTTCAAAGTTTAAACTTTAAACGATTATACAGAGTTTCACTCTGAAAATCAACATTTACGTCTCAAAAGCAGGCCCCCCCAAACAAACAAAAACAAAATCGTGACAGTAGAAATAAGGTACATTTCACTCAACGTTGTGTAATTTCCAATAATTTTGCAAAACCTGAATTAAAACTCCCATAATCGGCCACTACTTGCTGGACCAGTTCACCCGACTGAACTGTAACCTTGTTGCACAAACAACTAAAATTCCCCAGAAACTCTCTTTAACGTATTATGTAATTTTTTTTTCATAAACAAGATTCACACACGTATTCATTATATTTTGGAGAAAGACCAACTTTTTGTTTTACATCCTGTACACATGTTGTTGGAGTTGTTGCAAATAATACGACTACATTTCATGCTAGAGTAGATTGGTTGAATTTGAAGATAGATTTAAAAAATATTAAATTACATTGTTTTGTTTTATTATCACAGTACCCTATATTCTATGATAATACTATTATATTTTTGTGTCTTGTAAGATCACTGGTCACATTAACCGCGCTCTACGCGTACATTTTTCTTCTCATAATATTTTATATTGATAATCTTCTGTTACGACAGCGGAAGTCGCGTGACTCTGGGAGCATGCGCGCTGGAGTTTCTCGAATTATCGAGGAACCCCGCGAATGTCCGAGTGTTTGCTAGACGCCCTCTTTTTTAATATATAAGCCTGGCGAGAGAAACCAGCGTATTGAAGAGATAAATAATTGAGTCAAGCGAACAGTAGGTCCCGTAAGTAAAGTGCGGGAATCACTGTGATTTATAGTGTGTGTGTTATAAAGGTTGTTAAGTTTAAAGTGACTGTGGAAATTCTGTGTATTACATATAAGTTGTATCGAGAAAGAATAAACTAGTTTTAATCAAGAAAGGACTTGTGTCGCTGAAGTTCCTCGGAAAGCATTTCTACGGGATATGTAACACTTCATTTTATTTTGCCTTTCCTTTTAGGCTGTGTTGATGAGTACCAAAAATCTACGTAGATCACGACATTATTCGTTTCTAGAAGAGTGGTCAGAAAATTGTATTGTTGTAAGGTGAGAGTAATCTTTTTTTGTTCGTTGTAACACAACGTAAAAATATTTTATATTTTTTATATAGAAATAAGAACTGGTTTCTTAAATTGGATGTCGTTTTCATCAATATATTCTCACTTATATATATAACTGTTCAACTATTTTCTTTAGCGATAAATAATTCATACCGGTTTTGTTGGATTTCGCGTACATCTAATCGAGAGCTATCTGCACTAGGTGTCCCTAATTTAGAAATGATAGACTAGAGTGAAAGCAACTGCACAACACTGTCCACAGCCATTTCTTGGGCTGCTCTTTACCAAAGAATAGTGGGATTTATCATCACATTATAACGCCCCATGGCTGAAAGGGCGAGCATGTTTGGTGACTGGATTCGAACCTGCGACCCACAGAATGTAAGTCTAGTGCTCTAGCCACCAGATCCACGTAATACCTGCTTACCCACTTTTGTACCTACCACTAGAAATTACAGAGTTCTTATTTTTACCTGAAAAATTACATCAGTGTGACAATACGTAAGCAACTTACTTTCTTTTAGTGTTAAAACAATTTCACAAAAAATCTAAATAAACAGCTTAATAAACAATAACTGATAAACATCTACTTAACTGTACGTCGTTAGTAAAAACGTAGTTGAGCTACTTTCATACCCTTCATCGTTTTCTAGACTTTTATATCGTCCCCATTTTTACGTGAATATAATTATGTACTGTGACACAAATAAAATTGTATAGTTATATTTTTTTTATATATTAACTTTTTAAATTTTCAATAAGTAGGCCATTTTTCTCATTTTTGTGATAGGTACTTTCCAAATGTTAAGTTACAACAATTTATTGGGTATTTTAGTACAGTGAACGTCACAGTGTTACATAATCACTCATTGTGAAAAGAAAAAAAGATCAAAAGCGAAGAATTATCAGAAATATAATTAAATAAATTAAGCTTCTTTCTTATTATTATGTGCACATTCTGTGCAGCTGCTGTTTGTATAGAGATATTAATTTCGGAAAAGCCCCCTAGTGGCTCAACAGTAAGTTTTAAGGCTTCTAACACTACAAATGGGGTTTCAATACCCGAGGTGGGAATAGCACAAATAACCCATTGTGTAACTTTGTGCTTAACAACAAACAAAAAAAAATTCCGAAAAAGTTCAAGGAAATCATTTGCCTTTTTTCTTTGATTATTGGACATTTTGTTCATTGTTTAACATATTATTATTCATGCGAGTGTTAGACACCTATACAGCACTGGTAACTTTTCTTTTACATAAAATTGGAAGATTGTTTGTTTGTTTTGGAATTTCGCGCAAAGCTACACGAGGGCTATCTGCGC